GGAGTGGTTGTTCAGGGGCGCGTTGCCGCGTGGCTTCCTCCTCTGGAGAGCCTGGAGCGAACACGGGGGGCTGCTCCGGGAGACACGGTTTGGGGAGCGGGGCGGAGTGCTGCTCTGGGACCCGCGACACTGCGGGGCAGCCCCTCGGGGACGCCAGGCGGCTCTGGGGCGCACAGGGTCCTGCTCCGGAGGCCGGGATACCCCGTCCTTCCCCCCGGCCGTGGGATGTTGTGGGCGCCGCGGCGGCAGCAGGGCCCGGGCCCCGGCCCCCGCACACAGAGTCGCGCTCACACCAGCTCGGACACCACGAGGCGCTTTTTATTGCAAGGAAAAACCAAACCCCGCGCGGCTCCCCGCGGACACGCGCGGCCCTGGCGCTCCGCAGACCCTGCTTGGCCACCAGGCCCTGCGGGCAGACGCGTGTGGAGACCCCGCACCCGGGCCACGCTGGCGGCCGGGAGCCCCGTTCTCCGGCAAGACGAGCCCACGGGATCCCCGCGAGTGCGTGGGGTCCCTCTCCGAGCAGCTGCCGCTCCCACACGAGTGGGGAAGGGGGACTCGCTGCTGCCCTGACCGGCGTGTTGGCCCTTTGGGCCCACAGGGCGCAGAGCCCCATGCTGGAGAATCACCCTCATTCCCGGCTGGATGCCTCCGAGTTCCTGCCGTGCTCCCGGAGGGGAAAAGCGGGGGACGGGGCCCCCACGCTGCTCCCGTGGGACCGGCTGGTCGCGCTGCTGTGCAGGGGGACGCGCTCCCGCGACCCCCCGCGGGAATGAACCCGGCAGCAGCTAAATCCCGGGAAAATAAATATCCATCGTTCAGAGGGAAAAACGTCCTTTTTATTCTTTGTCTCTAACTCCAGCAGCCACCAGGTGTCAGTGTGATCAACGTCTAGCAGATGGGGCTACAGTGAAGTCCTAGGAGGTGGGAAATAAGTTTTCCAAGAATTTCTTCTGTCTGCTCTGACGCCGGGAGCACCCCTCCGAAAAGTCCAGCTTTGACAGCGTTTGTTAAAAACACGTTCAACTACATTAAGGTGATAGAAAAGCTTCCGGTTACAAATGCCAATACAATGTTTATCTTTCTCATTAACGCCTCTCCGCTGCAGAGCTGGAACTCGAGCACTGAACAACAGACCCAGAGCGAAACGGGCTCACGAGGGCCTGACTCTGCAGCGCTTCCCAGCCCGCAGGTCCCCAGAGATGACCTGGCCGCAGGGTTTGCAGGATAGGGACAACAGTGCAATTGACTTAACAAGATCAGCCTAGTGCAAAAAAATAATACAAAGAGGAACAAATGGAAAAGGTATAAAAAGTATCTCCATATTAAAATGAAATGCTCTTAACCAGTAGATTTCTGGAGCTAAACTGAGATTATACAGCCAAGCGTACCATGTCCGAGACATCAGAAAACTGTTCTCAGCTTGGTGACAGTCACCCTTGGACGCTCTGAAGATACCCTGGAGTGCTCCAGCTTCAGAAGACAGCACTTCAGTCTCTGGAATACGATCAGGCCTGAGCAAGCCAGAGCAGCAGACCAGGAGTTGCTAGTTGACAGCTTCAAGAGGCAGCAGTGCTTTTTAAGGAGCCTGGATGGCCACCTTGGCCTGTTTAAAGGTTGAAGACTTCAGACCAGATCAGGAGGTGCTGAGCCCAACTGCGACACAAGAAGCATTATCAGCACCTCGGTGTTTCTCTGAACTGGTAAAGCGGAGAGAAAATAGGGCAGCAAAGCAGCTCTTAGCAATGAAGCGCACCAAGGAAGTGCTTTCTGGGTGAACTAATTCACAGTTGATTGGTAGCTTTATCTGTCTTCATAGCCATCAAGTATTAAAAGTGTATTTAATGTGGATTATTTGACTTATAAACATTTATATGGTGAAACTGTCTAAAGGCCCCAGCCATACCAGGCCTTGTTATGCTAAGTGCTATACAAACTCAAAATTTAACTCCATGCTTCAAAACACTCACCGTGTCAGAACAACAACTTACATTTAATCCTGTGAGCCCCAAAGCCCCATCAGTGTGCGGGATCACTGCACCAGGTAGGGCAGAGCTGCCCATGGCTGCTTATGTCCCTGCAGCTTATGTCCCCCTCGACACCAGCCAACCCATCAGCTGCTGGGGCAGGACAGGGAGCTCCTGTGGGCGGCTCTGCAACCCCACCAACAAGATAAAATAAGATTTGAGGGATACATCTCCTATATAACACAGGGAAAGGTGTGGAGGCAGACAGAAACACTCAAAATTGGAATCTGGTTAGGGAAACCAAAGGCTTCCACTTTCAACCCATAATAGACTGATATCGATATGGTCCTACATGGAAATAACCTGCAGTTCAGTCTGTATGCAAAGCACTATGCAAAATGAAACTACAGATTCTTTTGTATCTCGACATTAGGCACTCACATCAGAGATGAGCATGCTAAAAATATCTGTACATACAGGGATAGATTTACAGGCTAAGCATCAGGCCACGTATCTGGGGTACTTCTGTACAAAGAATCCCTTACAGACCAACCACAAGGCTGCATCTTGCAGGAAGCAAGCAAGCAGCTGATCATAAACAGAAGGGAATACTATTGCCTTTGACCTAAGCGAGCCCCTCAGTCCCTCCGTGACAGAAGAAACAAATGTTCTGGGATTTCGGGCTTGAAAGTAGTTTCCAGTCTCAGTTTAGGTCGGGCTCAGGGAATAATTATGCATATTCACGTGCCTTTTATCACACATCCTCAGGGAGCTGGGGCCTCAAAGTTGCCCAAGGGAAGGCTGAAAAACAGCCATTGGGGAACACTTAGATCTGATTCTAATCTCACCTAAACCCTCTTTTACGTTTGTTTAAATGCAGCAATTTTAAAGATGTTACCCATGATTTACACCAATGTGACATTAAACACTTCTGCCTAGGGCAGGTTCTTGAAATGGAAACAAGGACCAGAAAACTTTTCTGACTTTCTAAATTTTTGCTTTTTTTCCTGTTTAAAAAGCTCACGTAGGCTGTACATGCACCTCAAAAGATTAACTGAAACGAAACTACCTTGGAAAATGTATCAGGAGTGGAAAAGGCCTGCCAGTCTAAAACTAAGACACAGACAAGGGATGCTTTGCTGCTGGTTTCACAGGCTGTTAGGTGAAAGAGGCAGGTAAAAAGTCCTTTTTGAGCAATTCTCCAGCCTAAAGCAGATTTCCAGCTAAGATGCTGCACCATGGCACCAAATTCTCTGCAGTCAGCCAAGCAGACCAGGACAGGTTAAAGTGCTCAAACTCTGCAAGCTCAACTTGGAGCTGTGGAGCTGGAGAAGGGGTAGGGGGGCTGTTGGGGCAAGAGTGGGGAAAAAAGAGACCACATGGGGATGCTGTCCCCAGATGTAAACATCAGCCCACCCAGCTGGCAGCTAATGCTAGAGCACTACAAAACCTCTCTGCACTTGTGGAGCTCCAACTCTCTGCCCAGGACATCTGCTGAGGCTTGGCTGCCCACATGCAGAGCGGGACACAGTTTTACAGGGACAGATCACGATCTCGGCTCTACAGCTATAAATGCCAATGCCAGCAAGGTCAGAGTCTGGCTGCCGTAACCCCAGCTGGTCTCCCAAAAGGAATATTCTCCCCAAAGCCAGATTCCTCATGGCACACAGCCTCACCGCCTTGTTTCCCAAGCCCAGCCACTCTCAGCCACTACCAGAGAGCTACAGTAAGTGCATTTAAAGGTGATGAAAGCATTGGTGCTACTGATAGGAACACACACACAGCCCGAGACACCCACCCCTCCCACTTCCCTCTTCAGTGATCCTTCAGGCTCCAAGCCTCTCATGTGGGCTCAGGACTTGCAGCAGGAAAACAAGCCCAAGCCTTGGCCTGTCCCAAGCCTTTAAGAAGTTGCTGAGCAGCCACCCTGCTCCCACAGTCCATAAGTCAAAATAGAAGAGACACAAATGTATTTAAAGGGGTGGCTCTCTCTTTGCTTCTTTAAAGATGCGTGTCTTCCTCGAACACATCCACCTCCTCGCTCGCCTGCTTGTTGATGAGGACGTCCCAGCTGTCGGGGCCGTTGATGGTGTTCCCACCGTTCACGCTCGGCTTCTTCTCCTGCATTTCCGACTGGCTGTCGCTGGCCACGTCCAAGGTGGGGTTGTCGTGGCAGCCGTTCTCCACAAAGCGCAGCTCCTCGCCATGGGACTGCAAGGGAAAGAAGGAGCACAAATGGGGACAGTGAGGACAGGTCCCGAGGCAGCCGAGGAGCCTGGTCAAACCAGGACTTAAGGGCCACTGGGGACTTTGCAGGGTCAGAGGTAAAAGGAGAATTTGCTCCTGGCCCAGCTCTCATGGTGGAAACAGGCTGTGCTGAGCACAGCAAGAACCACTGGGTTGCATCTCCCTTATGCCTCAGGGGCTGCCTTGCTGCTCCAGCAATGTCCCCAGCAATGTCCAGATGGTGGACCGGGAAAAATAATCTCCCTCCTGACTCTCCAGGCCCCTCCATCCCAAAGGTCAGCCAGATGTGTTCCTCAGCCACCCTCAGCTCACCATGTTCTTCATCTTGGGCAAGCGTCTCTGCCAGCAGTTGTAGATGAGCCCCATAACAATGATGATGGCGCAGATGGAGCCGATGATCACCAGCACCACAAAGAGCTTCCCGTAATCGCTGCGTGGCTGGTTAGGGTGCGACTGGCAGCTTGTGGTGGTTGAGTAGTTCTGGATGCCAATCTGGAAGCAAGAAAGGGGTACATTAAAACTGCTGGTCTGCAATCACTGGTGAGGTAGGAATGTATTTGGACTTTCCAAGGTCCAAGCACAGGTTCCTCACCATGGGCCAAAGAACTAAAAGCCAGGAGGCAGGTTTTACATTGTGTTACATCACTGGAAGGCACATGACTAAATGAATCCCATCTTCCACAAGTCTTGACATATCAGCAAGTGACAGTGAGCACAAATTCACCTTGACAGCCTGCAAGAGGATCACACCAACGTTCAAGGCAGAGATGCTTGTGAGGGAAAAACTGGCCAAGATTAAGAGCTTCCAAACCAAACTACAGACCCTTGATGGGTGCTGAAGCTTTGGTGACTCTGAGAAAGTGAAAGCATAACAAATAGGTTTCCGATAAACTTTGGTCTTAGGAGAGCAGAGTGGTCCATCCAAGGTCTTTGGAGTGGACAGCTCTCTGTTGATCCAAAATCTAGGGAATGGGCTGTCTTACAAATGGGTCCCTCATGGGTGTCAGCAGACAAAACTGAACATTACTGCCAATGACTCGGCAGATTTCAAACAGGTTGTGTATCAATTCGACAGCAAGTATGACAGTGTAAGAGAATATCCCCCTTCTCCTCCTCCTCCTCCTCAGCCTGTGCTAGCGCAAGGTCAATGCAATGAGCCGTGTTTCATTATTGATAGCACTGGAGAGTTGGAGGTAGGTGGCAAGGCTCCGGGGGTAGGATGCATGTTAATGTAGGTTCACTGCTGCACCAAGAAGTCAAACCTTGCACCAACATGAATCCTTCTCTGGACAGGTCCAGTTGCTGATATTTCAGATACACAATTTGTGCATGGTTGGCTCTTAGCACTTTCTCGGGTATAAGCCAATCAATACTGCACTGAGCACTTAATTTGCTTTGTCTAACTGCACCAATTCGTTAGGTCAGGGGAAAACCTGAGAACAAACAGACAGAAAGGTAACAGCCCAAGTCTGCTGCTATCTACACTACCAAATCAGCAGAATTACTCTAGCAGCGTAAGCAAGAGCAGAATCTGGCCTTCTCCATGTCCAACAGACCTCGGGAGCAAGCTTAGGGACCACAAAAGGAATCTGCCCTTGTTTCTGCCCCTGTCGAGGCTCTCCAGGGTTACATGTGAGGACTAGAGGCACCACGCACTGGAGTCTGGCATCGGTCGCTTCTGCTTCTCTGCCTTTCGTGGTGGAGGGCACTCGAAAGGAGGGACACGTGGGGCTGCAGGGGAAGGTGTGAGAATGTGTCCTCACTACTACGGGCACTTCTTCCAGCCCATTCAGCAAAGGCGGAGTGACTGGGAGCAGCCTGCCAGCACGAGCACATCAGTGGTAGGGTGAGCAGGGCTGAACGTGAAGCTCTGCGGCGCTGACGTGGCCACAGGCAGTGGCATAGAAGGGAAGAGCCCAAGGATCCCAACAAAACGAACACATGAAATGCAGCTTCAAAACCAAGCCAGAGAAGCAGCAAAGGAAGAACACACAGTTGCTGTCTTAATGGGAGCTGACATTTGATGATTCTGCAGTTACCAAATAGGGGAGAAGGGAGTTTGCCAAACATCTGACTCATCTGTTCACCTGTTGTGTGTTCAGCACTCAGACTGAAATATGGTCTCGATTTTCTAGGTGCTTATTTTAATTGCCTAGCCAGCCTGACAGGATGGATGCAGGCAAAGGCTCTTACCTCAGCTAAGCTCCTCTTAACATCCCCCAGGGCCATAAGAACATCTTTTGTAGGGATGACACCTGGAGAGAAGGAAAGGGAGAGATCAGCACTGCTCTCAACGCAGGCGAGCTTGGTTAGAAGTACTCATCACTGTGAAATTCACTGCAGGACAGAGGCAGGGGAACAGCCATGGATTTTTGTTACTTGGTACACTATCTTAGGAGGCTGCAAGAATGCAAGAATTGTAATAGAGTAAACCCCAAACATTCTTGAAAAAGGAAAAGAAACAGAGGCGAATTGGTGCGAGGGGTACTCAAGCACCATTCTCAAATTCGTGGCAGGTTTCAGCATCTGCATCTGCTCTCGGAGCAACAGCCAAAACGTCACTGCGGCAGGTGCTGTTGCTGCGTGATCCATCCTCCCTGCCCTGCCCACAACCAGGCAGGGAGGATATAAAAACTGAAGCCCTCCTTCCTTTCACTCAGTCCAGCAATAGAAGGAGGAACTGAACAAAAGCACGATTGTTGAGAGCAGAAGACACTTCAGTTCCTCAGGTTTCTGAACTCAGGGATATCTCCCAGCCTAGCTGCACTGCTGGAGTTCAGGCCTGACTTTCTTCTCCAGGAGGACAGTATGTAGGTTTTACATTAGACACCCAATGTTCACAAAAGCCTTTTCAGTGGTACATGGTCCAACCCAAGGAGTTGGGAGTGATATGATTTAAAGCACAGATAGAGCAAATACCACTAAAATGTTAGCTCTGTTTTCCCCTGCAGGCCAGTTCAGAACAGTACTTTTTTTATATAGGCTGTAACATCAGCATAAGCAGCCTCCAGCACTAAGCAGACAGCAAAAGCAGCAGAATTAAAAAAAAAAAAAGCACCCTCTGTACCAGAATGGGATAAAAAGATGGTAATAATTTCCACTTTCATTAGCAGCTTTTGTTTCTTTGAGGAGGCACCATTAGGACTTGTCCAGCTCGGATGAGAATTAAGTTAAGAACTGGTAAGTTCACGAGTGAACTGTGAGCAGGTTTTCATGTCCTGCCATGACAAGGGCCTGTCCTCGGAGAGCACACAAGCATAGGGAGAAAACTGAAGGATGCTTGTGCCAAGGCTATCCAGAGAAGGAGCAAAGCAGGAGTCAGAGCAGAGAAGTTGGGAGTTTGTTGCAAACCATGAGCGAGAAGCCAGGAGGGAGATGAGGACAAGAGGGTTATGTCCTCAGTGCCCCTCCATTCCCTAAGTTCACCTCACACCGAGACGGGGCAACATTGAAGCTGCCTGGAGAGTGAAAGCTCCTTCCAACCCAAGTGGGCATCTCCGCTGCAAGGCCCCTAAAAGCAGCCCACCCCCTGCATCGCCAAAGAGCCCCTTCCCCCAGCACCTACCCTGCTCCCCAGCCAGTGTCATTAGCAAGTGCTTGTCGTTCTCGTTGGGTTTGCTCAGCGAGATCAGCCAGCGGTCCTGCACTCCGTCCATCTGCCTGGAGAAGGCATCCTCCACCAGCGCCAGCAGCTGGGGACCCCTCTCCAGCCGAAACTCCTCCTGTCACGGGAAAAGGACCTCAGTGAGTGCACAACATGACGGCACGACGGCGTGACCGTGCAGCTGAGACTGTAAATGAGCATCACCTGCTTACAGACGTGCCACATCCTGCACAACACCCCCATCCACACGTCCCCAGCCTGGACTCGCACAGCTCTCCTGACACACCGACCTTCTCCTGCACACCTTGGCCACGCGCCCCACGCCACCCTGACCAGCCCCCCGTGATCCAGGGCTAACACTGTTTGGAAAGGCAGCAGGAGAAGCGGCCAGGCTTTCCCCAGCTCCGCGGGGCTTTTCCCAGCGCCAGGCTGGGTTGGCGGGCCCCGCTCCGCCTGACGTGCTCCAGCCATCCCCTGGCAGGCTCCTTTGCCGCTTTCCCACTCCTGCGTTTCTATTCTTATCTCCGGTTGCCATGCCAACCTGAAGGCCACACAGATGATTAATAAAATGGAGAGCTCTTGTTGCCATGGCAATTTCAAGCGCTCAGGGCAGGCACAGGCCTGAACCGAAAATGGCCTAATTGGAAAAGACACTGACGACTGCGGCCTGAATCACCCGGGTCTGCCCGAGCCTCCTCTCATCAGGTTTCGGCTCTTGGCAGCGGGAGGGCACAGGGGAGGCAGGAGGAGCCATGATGGGACACGGGGACAGGACATGGCACCGGTTCCAGTACGCTCTGGGCCTCACTGCCCGCTGGCAGCTCCGTTTTGGAGGAAGGGGGAGCAGCTTAGCCCGGGAACGTGAAGGGGAGAGAAGGGAGATGCCGCTGGGGATGGGGATACAGAGCTTGCGGAGCACTGAGGAATTCTCCTGGGAGGAGGAAAGGGAGCTGTGACGGCACCGAGGCGGAGGTCGCCACGCGTGGGTCACACCTGCAGTCCTCGCTTGGGCAGAAGGCCCAGGTAAAGCGAGCGGGGGACTTGCTCAGACACAGAGTGACCTCCCTGTTGTGGTAGGGAGATAAATGGGCGGCCAGCTCAACCCAGCAACTCGCACGTCAGCCCTGGGCAGGGCTGGAGCTCCGAAGGACGCTGAGGCTCCGGGCGCAGCCCTGCAAGGGGCTCGGCACCCTCATCGCCCCTCAGCTTTGGATTCAGTCATGCATCGGGTCAGAGCTTCAAAACAAAGGAAATATTCCAGAAATCCTCATTCAGCCTAATTTAAACAACAGCGCTGGCAGTGCAGCCTTTGCCTTGCAGCCCCAGAAATACAAATAACAAAGGCTCAGGATACATAAACCATAGGGCAAAAGGGGCAGGCAGAGGGGCACTGGTAGGAAACAAACTACATTGACAGGGGTGGAAAGGAGAAGAGCTTGATTTCAGCTTCAGTCATGCATAGTGATAACGGGAGGCAGGGAATGGAAGCAATGTTCATGTTAAATATGTATGTTGACAAGTGTCCCTTCGAATAAAGGGGAGGACAGCACAAGTCACTCATTTGGAAACACGTTTTGAAACATGAAATCAAGTAGAAAAACAGTTCAGTCCTGCCTATCCCAGGGCACTGTCTTCTTTCAGCACGGGAGGATGGAGGATTCAACAGCAAAGATGCAATTTTTTCAAGAGACATCTGCATTTCTGCTTTTCAGTTCTCGCCATTGCCGTGGTTTAAAACACGGCAAGTGAAGATGACCACAGGAAGGGAGCTACTACGTACTATAAAATTAACAAGCATTTAAACTGCAGCGATGGGCAGAACGACAATGACTAGGACATGGAGGAAACAGTGCAGCAGGATCCTGGTTTTCAAGGACTACTTTTCTGAGTAGCAACTGTAACTTGCAACAGAGACACTTAAAATTCCCCAAAGGGAAAAGTGGTCTGCTTAAAGGCCAATGCAAAGAGACTGACTCTTCATCTCTCCTTAAAATAGTCAGCACACTTTGTGTGCAATAATTTCCCTGCTTTCCTCATCCCCCAAAGTTTGCCTTAAAGCAAACAAACAAACAAAAAATCACACTAATGGAAATAGGGAGTGTTGAAGAGCCACCCCGCAGTACCAAAACCAGCTGCTCACCCTGGTGCAGGAGCTGCAAGAAGCAAGAGAGCAAACACACGAGGAGAGAACGGGGCTCCCTCGTGCAACATTTCAGTCACGCGCTGCCAGGCTCGGAATCATTTCACAGAAATATGAAAGGCATCATGACCCTACACCCTCCATATCAGCGCTTGATAAGGGGCGCAGCAGAGGTGAATGAGCTCTGGTCCTTCTACCAGAGATGCACAAGGGGCTTTGGGCTCATGAATTAACTGCAGCTTTACGGGGATGGATGGACACGTATTAGATTAGCCGAGCATGTCTGGTTAACAGACCCAGATAACACAGAAGGTAACAGGGTGGGGAGAAGGGGCACTTAAGGAAGATTTAGTGACAGCTGTCGACACTGGACCGTTCACACTGCAAATGGGGCATCTTTATTCCCCTGAGCCATCAAAGGAAAGTGACTATAACCTCAAAGCAGAGGAAAGAGAAGGGAAAGGCAGAGGGATGGAAGGTCCCACCGCAGTCCTGCCATGTTGCCTGAGTAAGAGGTGCAATGTTAAATGTTCCCGAGTCTCTCGACAATCCCAGTAACGTCTGGTACGACAGGCAGCCAGGAGCGACAAAGCGCAATCTGGAAGTGATGCCTGCTAGACTGAGCAGAATCCTCTCTCCACCCACTCTTTACCTATTTGGGGAATGAGAATATTTCTGTCCTACCCCCCGTCTCTCCACAACCTCTATAGGGACTTTGAGAATTAGTGCTTCTAATTTTTTTTTTTGTACTGTGAGCACACAGCAAGCGCCTGCCTCAGCATCTCTAAGTGCTATTCTTCTCACGCCATCAAGTCTCTTTGGACTGACTTACACAGTCAATGTTATCCGACATATTCAGGATGATGTAGTTTTTCCCTGCAAGGTTGCTCCAGTCTTTGCAGATTACCTGGAAAGACAAGGGATAAAGAGAGCTGAGTTTGGTCAGCAAACGCAGCTCGCCTGCTGAAAGCACAGGACATGCAAGGGAGGCGAACAGGGAAGGGGCTCCATACCCAGGAGGTGCTTCCAAAAGGAAGTAACTGTTCTCTAGCTCTTTGCACTCAGAGGGATTCACCTTTCCATCTGGAAGCTGAGACACCAGCTCTTTTTGTTGCAGTGCTAGCACACAGGGGAGGGACAAGGGTACTGTGCCAGCACAGCATAGCCCAGCTCTACCCTCCACCTACAGCAAAAAGGACTCAAGTAGTCATTGGAAAGCTCTCTCTAGCCTGGAATCTTAGCCCATATGTGACTAGCACTTAGCACAGCAGAAAACGTAAACAGGAGCCTCTGCGGTCCTTACACAAACTGGTTGGACAGGGCAATATTTTGCGAGCAAGTACAGAGGGACTAAGCCACTTCTTTGGGGTCCCAAGTACTTTGGGCAGTGAGCAAAACAAGAAACCTTCCCTGATACTTTCTCACCAACCAGCTCTTCCAACCTATCTATGCTTGGCCAGCTACGGTTTGCTAGATTCATTCACCTTGCATCTCCCCCAGCCACCAATTCTGCTAAATAACATCCTCCCAGGTGGCCGTACCCTGCTCCACCTGCTCCACATCTCGCCCTGGCAGCTTATGGCAGCAGCAGCAGCAAAAATAGTTCTTGCTTCTCACTCCCTTTCTAGTGGTCCTTGGGGCCATCTATGCCTTGACACTTCCAATAATCCAGGCTGAGAAAGCAAGGAGCTTGTGTTGCTGTCTGTGCCCCCAAAGGACAAGTATTTATTAGTAGCAGGATTTTTGTGCAGCAGTTCATGGGGGCAGATGGGAGGTGGGCAGGTCTTTCTCCAAGGATCACGGATGCCCTTAAGAAAGAACAAAACAACTCCCTCAAAATTTACTGGCTGGGGGAGTGAGCAGAAAATGCTATTTAAACTGGCTGGACATAGTGGGTGGTGAGAATAAGGGTTAAACATCTCCTGGGAGATGAGTACCCACCATCTCCACTGCAACCTCCCACTCCTCGTGCATTACCTGTGGTGAATTCCAGGGCATTTCTGTTGGCAGCACAGCCATGCGGGCATCCCCGGGCTGCGGGGACAAGCTCCTCTCTCTTGCCACGATCTCCGTGGCCAACTCTGTGTCATTCCAGGCAAGATCCAGGGCTGGCTCCTCGGACGTGACCCACGTTGCTGTGGAGAAGCTGGGGTGCTGGTCGCCATCAGAGAAAGTCTGGGTGTCTGAGGAGCTGCTGCTGGGAGAGGGGGTCCCCACAGGTGTTTCCAGTGTCTGCTCCGTTTCAGGTAGCTCTGTGGGCTCCAGCATCTCCCACCCCACCGTGGTCTCTGGGAACTCCTCTCTGGACAAATGCTCTCTCCCACCAGGCTCCACCGCAGGCTCTGTGAGCTCTGTTCTTGAGGTGGTCACAGTTGGCTCCAAATCTGCTCCCTCGAAAACCCACATGTCCCCAGTTGTCACCTCAAAGGGCTCTTCTGAAACACCAGGGGACCCCGCAGCAGTAGCAGAGAAAACAGAGGACACAGGCAGAATGCCCGGCCCCATGCTGCTCCCGAGGTCTAAGCCCGGAGGAACAGAGTCCTCATCCTGAATCCCCGCGGCTGCCTCGGTCACGACGGCTGCTCCTACGGAGGATGTGGAAAACAGGTCGGAGAACAAGGAGTCCTCCTGGTCCACTGGCTCAGGCGACGTGTCCTTCGGCTCGGAGGGGTGCAGGATCTCGGGTCCTCCCTTCGAGGGGTCTATGGGGAGCAGCCCCTCGTCCTCCTCCAGCGCGCTGGAGAACGGCGCGCGCCCGTCCAGCTCCGCGGGCTCTGCCGGCGGCTGCAGGGTGCCCTTTTCCCAGGTGTCTTTCACCTGCGTCCCATTCCCTTTGGGCACGGCCTTTGGAGAGGAAACAGGGAAGCTGTAGTCTAAAAAGAGATCCAAAAGACAGTGTGTCACATCCCAAGCACACAAGAGTTCCAAAAGATTGGGACATGTCCCCATTATACATGGCATGCCACCGAAAAGGGGAACAATCCCAAGCAATAAGTGTAGAGCAATTTCCCACGGCCCCCCAATCTCCCTCCCTACCCCAGTGAACACATATTCTCCATAGATAATTCACATGTTGGCCTTTTCCTCTTTCTGTGCTGAGGATGTTTTCACAGACCTGCCAGCTGGGTCGCAGACCCCTCTCTTTGAGACTTTGCATCTCAAAGTGAGGTTACAGTGTTACAAACCAAGCTTGGACACAGGGCTTCATTTCACAAAGGGCTTAGCCAGACATGGGGTTACAACTACTAACAAAGTGGGAGATACTAGTGAAGAACAGCAGCACAGAAAACCAGATCCTGCTCCATAGCACGTCCAAGGAGCAGTAAAACCTGAAGCAACCTGGGCATCTCAAAGGCAGCACTTTGGTTTGTGCAGCACTTCACAGCAGAAAGGGCATCTCAAATACCTGAGTTACGAGATTCCCATGACACTAAGGAGAAGTTTTGCTGCAGAGAAGCAGGCCAGAGAAAGGAGCTGAATTCAACCCTGCTCTCTCTCCAGCTTCAGCCCCGGTGGCTCTGACCACTGTTTGCTGCATGTGATTTTGCTAGGAGGAGGCGCTGAAGGAGAAGATGCACCTCACAAATAGAAGGTCAGAGCAGGCAGTGGGTTCTCCTGCGAGTGGGGAGCAGTCCAGGGTAAGGAGAGGACCCATAAGGCCAGACACACTAAGCTGGAACTCGGAGAGTTCCTGCAGGCATCAATCAGTCTTCGCTTTTCTCAAGAAACTGCCTGGGGAGCCTGTTTCAGTGGTTTGCATCCCAAGTAACTCCTTTTCTCCCCGAGATGAGCACAGCACATTCCGATCAAGAAATGGAGGGGACAGGGTCCCTCTGCAGCCAGAAATGAGCACCCTGCCTGGCTTTCCGTTTTTAATAAGCAACTGCCTAAAATCCCCGACGCCTCCGTCCCTTCGCCTGTCTGCCACAGCAGATGCTTCACCGAGCACAGAGGCAGCAGCCTTTGGGCTGCCTCGGAAATGCATGAGGGGTCTCCACACCCCCATCGCCTCCCCAAACCATCTCTTGCTGCTGTCAGAGCAGGTGCCAAGGGGCACGCAGACAAACACTTCCATTGCCTTGGATATTCCCTGGCAACCAGGGCTGCTCTGGCAACCCAGCGCCTTCCCTCCCCTCCCGTCCTTCCCGCACGGAGAAGCAGGCGGCTCCCTCCGCCCCCAGCAGATGCACAAAGATGCTCCTCTCCACAGCGAGCGCTTCCCCGAGCCACCACCTCGCTCCTGCCGTGTCCTGGACACGGCTGCTGGCCCTCAGGGCTGCCATGGGGCAGCTCCCAGGCTGCAAAGAGGCCGCTGAGATCTACTGACCACCGCAGGCAGCTCCTCTCTAGAATATACCTGCTCTGCAGCTGCGTTTTACTAGAGAGCACCCAACCTGAGACTCATTTCAGCCCGGGGACCCTGGGGATTAAAGGAGATTATTAGTACCCTGTTGGCTCCCTGGTGATGCTCTGTTGGTGGCCACCAAGGCGGCAAGAGCAACCGCCTCCTGCAAAGGCAGAGGAAGAGCACGGCCCCTCTGCTGCTGGCCTTCCCGAAGGTCTTCAACAGCTACGTGCGCCAGTATCCCCAGAAAGTAGCCACCTTGCTAGGCAGATGCTGGCTAACAGCAGGGATGGCCACAGGTCAAAGGATTGAGGACATTGGGTTGGGACCCTCTTTCAACAGATGGTGGAGGGTTAATGCCTCTCCTGGTTTCTTCTGCTCCTCCTGCTGCTGCGTTCGTGCTGAACACACTGGCCTCACCGGGAGCCCGACCTGCTCTGCATCCACAGGCTGGGAGGGAGATGTAATTTCCCCATGAGATGGGACATTATTTTAAAGGACTAATGATCCACTCTGCCATCTCTGGTGCCTGGAGACTGCTCAGCTTTTCGCAGCTCCTCTCTCCCCCACACTTCTCCCCAGTAGGAGGATAGCAAGAACTGGCAGCAGGGCACAGCAGAAAGACAGACCGGGTGAAAAGCAGCCAGAGGTTTGTCCCAGGGGAGGCAGAAACGCTCCCGACCTGTCAGCTCTCCTCCGGAGTGAAGCAGTCAGCCTTCCCTTAGAGAGCTCTGCCACGGACGCGCTGGCTCCCAAGGGGAGAAGCGCCGCGCGGCTCTGCCGTGTCACCTTCCACGAGCAGGATGCAGGGGGGTCCGGGGCTCCGACGCCTCCGCTGGTGCCGGGGCTCCAGGGAAGCCTCCCACGCTCGCCCAGGAGGCGTCTGCCTTGCGAGGGAGCCGAAACCCGAAACCTCGGCTGCTTCTCTGGGGCACCGAGTCAGCGAGCTGGAAGCAGACACAGGAGCCCTCGTGCTCACTGCTAATTGATTTAACATTCCCACTTTGCCACCGGCTTCACCCCGGGGAAGGGGAGAGAGGCAAAATGCAGACATTGGCCTGGAAAATGCTGAAACTCAAGGTGTTTTGGTCACAGCTGTGCTGCTTTGTTCTCCTTAAAATGAGAAGCTCTCTGTACAATTCAGTTCCCAAGGGCGATTCAATTGCTTCCCAAGTCAAGAAGTTCAGGAATAATGATTCAGCCTCTCCTTCCAAACTTCCCAGCTGGGGACTTTGTTGTGGCCAGGAATTGTCTTCCCATGATCTCACTTCCAAAGACAGTATTCACCAACTTTGGAAGATCCAATCTTTTAAGGCATTCACCTTCTAGTTTACATGCCTCTTCCACAATTCAAAAGACTTTTTCACCCCACACATCCCCTTGCTAATACCCTAGCCACAAAACCATTCATAGAAATCTTTTTCCCACAGAGATTTCTAGAAAAGTTTGTTCAGCCTCTCCTTCCAAGCTTCCCAGCTGGGGACTTTGTTCTGGCCAGGAATTGTCTTCCCATGATCTCGCTTCCAAAGACAGAGTATTCACCAACTTTGGAAGCTCCAATCTTTTAAGTCATTCACCTTCTAGTTTACAGGCCTCTTTCACAATTCAAAAGACTTTTTCACCCCACACATCCCCTTGCTAATACCCTAGCCACAAAACCATTCCTAGAAATCTTTTTCCCAAAGAGCTTTCTAGAAAAGTTTGTGCCTGTCATTCATCTGTTTGCAATCCAGAGCTAAAAGCTTCCTCTTTGAGGGAGTCTTCTCAATATTTCCCTTGATAATTCCCTCCCCCAGCTCTAGGACAACTCAAAGAACATTCCCCATCGTTAGTGACCCCTTCCAACATTTTGCTAGCAGTTCTCCCTCAGCGAGGGGGCTGTCAGACCTGTGACCCACAGGCCCCCCTGCTGCCCTCTCCCTTCAGCAGATCCTCTACAACAGGCTCCCATGCCCCTGGGAACGCACAGACCCTCTCACCATCCCACACCAGCGCTATCCAGTCCCATCCCCACCAGTTTTCATGGAGGTTCATGAGAAGAGGAAGCCTGGAAGAGGGAGGCCAGATTGACTCGGGTGACTCATGCTGCCATGCAGAAGCGAGGCAGGGTTTCGCACTACAGGACATGGGTGGCTGAAATGCCACGTTCGCCAGGCTGGTTAATCAGCTCATCAGACTTCAGGGAGGGGGCAGAGAGCCTGGGAAGGGAGCAGGCAGCAGTGACACCCACCACCAGCTCCTTCCCCGCCAGGGTCCACCCCGCTGGTCTCCACCGAGATCAGAGTAGGCTGGAGCACAATGTGTGGATGCCCGGGAATGTTGCGTGCTTGGATACTGCTCCCCAGCACCACATGCAAGGGCAGGCAAGTCCCACCGCAGGAGGAGAGCTGCCCTTCGGAGCCACGAGGATGTCTCAGGACCTGGCAAAGCTGTCTGGTAGGGACAAAGCAGACCAACAGGCAGCCACCACCTCCATGTCCCGCTCCCTCCCAGAGTTTTACAGTCACTTCACACCCACGGGAATCTGATTCACCAACACAAAATTCCTTGTATCAAGCTCATCTCTACGTGTCCTTAGCTATATCCCCTTAATGCTGTCTCCTCGCAGTTGTATTACTCACACCACAGCATCCAGCTCCTTCAGCCCTGCACTGGCTTCTCCCTCCCAAGCTCTGTTGCAAAGACCCTCAGGCACCGTTTTCCACAGAAACCATCTCACCAGCCCTCCTGCCACTCAAGGTCTGCCCTTCACATCTCCCGTCACACCTCGATCTGGGCTGCACAGATCCATTTCCCTTGGTTAGGGGCATGAGCTGCCCTGGAAGAGGTGAACAAGAGCTATGAACCCCTGCAAGAGCTATCCTTTAGGCTGCATCCTGCTCTCTCTGCAATCAAACCCCAAATTTCCCTGACACCAGATGGGCCAAGACTTGGCACTTTGCCAATGCACAATTCCCCAGTCAGACATTTAATTCATTACACTTCTATTTCTCTTTCATTCAGAAGGGCTGGTCTCAGTGGATGCCCTGCAAGGCTGCCTGGCCTATATTTGCCACTATTACCTATTTAAAGTGACTGTGACAGCTCAGAATTAAGGCTGCCCCTCATCATTTTTAGTAAACATAACATGACCAGAAGGTCTTTATTGGATTAAAGCAGATCATGTTAACCAGTGATTGAATTACTGGTAACTAGAAGGCACTGTCATAAGGATGTGCCCATTCCTGGCCCCCATGGGAACAACAACACAGCTCACTAGCACTGTTATACTGCACTAGCTACCAAGCTCATGCAGTGCAAGGTGGATTTTACCACTGCTGCTTAAAGCACAGCCTGTTCTGGGGCGTTCTCCGCTCCATACTGCAAGTCAGCAAGTAACGAGACTTACTGCAAAAAGGAACACTACACCTGATTAAAACTGCAGGGGGATTTCAAAGAGGCAAAATGTAATTACCAGCACTGGCACTGAGCCAGCTTGGGTTAATACCCCAATCAATACCCAGAAGAGCTGGGAGAAGTCACTATGTGGGATTTCAAGGCATGCACCCCTACACAAGCATGCACACACACAAGAGAGGTCACATTTAAAACACAGACCCCAAGAAATAAAGTGTTAGATCTCACCCATGTCTGGCATTTGCTTCAGATGGAGACTGGGCACGGATTTGAAGGGCTATGGCTATTCCTAAATAGCCCCAATCCCTTTTTCCTGCTCTGTGTAACCTGCGAGAGGCCAGAACGAGTCACCCGCCTCCCAGGTGACAGCGCTGGTCAGCAATAGCTCTGTCAGAACAACTCCATGCCCAGAGAAACCCTGTTGGTCACAGGTCACCATGGCCAGCAATGGCCTGTCCCAAGACAGATCACCCAATGCGTCAGCGTCCCTTAAATCGGGGCGTAAACAAGAGGCATCCCGGCGCTGAGCCCAGGCAGGGAGCTGCTCAGCACTAAGCTTCTTACGGGGACCGTCTTTACCAGGTGCTTCATTTCATTAATGCCTGCGTGAAGATGGCATTAAGAACTGCAGGGCTGCTGTCAGTCTGGATGAAGAGGAGCAGATTTCAGCAGGGCTGGAGGGACTGGGATCTCTCTGACCACAGAGTAAGTCATCATGGAAGGAAGGGAATCTCACTGCCAAAGAAGGGTTGAGGGTGGGAGAGGCTTTATCCCACTAGCTGCTTGGAAAGCTTATTTTTCTTTGAATGCAGCGTGCTTTTGTGTCCTGCTGTCCCACATCCTAACTCTCCTAGAAATCCCTTCTACTAATTACCACAAATAATTAAAAGATTACCTTTTTTTTTTTTTTTTTCCTCCAAAGTGCCACATGCCACCCTAGTAAATTCCCAACTCATGACTCTGGATTTGACAGCTCCCGGCACAGCTATTCCTTGGTCTTCAAAGGCACAGCCTTGGAGCTAATAGAGCAGTACGGAAGCGAGCTTCAAGCCAGCCCACCACCATGCTGGAAGACATGATGATGCCCCCCAACCCTTTGGGCAAGGAAGAGACGGAGCCTTCCCTTGCCAGTGCCTCCCAGATCTTGGATCACTTTTCGGGATACCCCATGTCCCACTAGTGATTAAGCCATCTCTGCCCTTAGGCTTGGTTGCAGGAGGAAGGTGAGGGGCACTGGGCTCTGACTTAGCCAAGGGGGAGCACGGATGTGCAAAGCAGGGCCTACATCATGCTGGAAGCACCACGGCACCTCTGTCACCAAAATTGGGGATGAGAGAGACAGGGGGGTTGCACCTGGCAGGGACCAGCAGCCCTGATGGCTCCCTTCTACCCCTGAAGCTAGAAAAGATGTCATATCTACAAAATAAGTGAGGGAGGATTAGAGTCTCCAGGCAAAACAAGATGGGAGGAAGGGGAAGGAGAGCAAGAAAGACCAGGCTCAAGTCCTTGCAGGGCCTCATCTCCGCCCAGAACTGACCCTGCCTCAGGCCAATTGGACAGAAAAGGTGAGAAGCAGCAGCCAAACTCAAACCACAGCTTGACTGGTTTATGGATTCCCTGGAAGTCCTAGAGGGGCGGGATGCAGACGCAGCAGGTTCAGAGCTCCTCTGACCTAAGGTGGGAGTCACTCACCGCGTCTTTCCCCAAGGATGCGGCACCCACCGGCCCGGATCCAACTATTCCCGATGCAGCAGCGCACGAACAGCAGAGCCAGGGCAGACCAGGGTGGTAGCGTGCACCTCTGTGCACACTCACAGACAGAACAAGACGAAGCCCAGGGCTTTCGCAGGGTGCCACTCACTGATGTCAGTACAGATTTACCCATAGCATAAGGCAGCAAAAAGCACATTATTCAAGAGAGCGCCCCAGGCCGCGCTGCGTCCAGCCAGTGGGAGTTCATTCACACTTTCCTCACTTTCTAATGGACTAACAGGTGGCCCTAGATGCCACATGTTTTCCAGAATTATTTTTTAAAGGATGTTTGAAAGCACTTAAAAAAAGTGCGGCAGCTGCAGAGTGTTATTCCTGTTGATCCCCCACAGGCTGCAAAGTGGCACAAAGGCAGAGCGGGCTCCTCACACCAGCTTCAGAGAGACAGCAAAAAAAGAGATGACTAATGTAGCTCTGGGATCTCAGGAGACCTGGCCAATCTGCAACAAGACCAGCAGTCCCAAGCCCGGTATCTTTAAGCCAAACAGGGAAAGGAGCCCAGGCCTACACAGCTCTTCAAAGCAGGGTATTTTCTCTCCCTAGGAGTGTAACAATCCTGTTTGGCACCTTGATTGATTCCGCGTCTCGGAGCTGTGCCTGGGGCAGAGCAATCAGCTAGGACAGGCTATATGCCACTGTCACCTCGAGAGAAAGCCTACTTGAGGAGAACTTACATCTTACCTTTTTTTCCTTTTTTTCTTTTAATAACAACTGTTTGAAATTGTTTAATGGATTTATGCTTTTGAAAATAACCTAACAGATGTCATTACACAGTTCCACGAGGTATCACATGGCATCTGTCACACATGCAGCAAGTAAGACCCATCGGGCGAGGGTCTCGCTCTGATGTACAGACTTTGCCTGACAGGAGAAGGCTGCCCAATTTAGGGATGCTATTACAATATCTTTTATTGTAAAATGACACACAGCAGGTTTCTAATTAAATTTTAAGTAGAAATGCGCTCCCAGCTGTTGAATAATTCAAAGGGATCTATTAACCAAGGTCCTGAAAGGGCAGAGAAGGGAGCCCTGGACACAGCGAGGGCCGGGGGAGGCAGCGCTTGGGTGCGTGGGCACGGACGGGGTCCGCGCGGAGGCCAGCTGGAAGCCACATCTGTGCGGGCCGGAGCGCGCGGCAGGCGGCAGCGGAAGCGGCGCCGAGGGGGCTCCGCAAAGGATGCGCCGCCGGGAACAAGCGCCATCCGCCACCGGCATCGCTGCGGAACCTCCCAGACCTGCAAGTGCCCCGGGGGCCGCACGAGCAGCGGGGCGGCAGCAGCAGCGCGAGGGAGCGAAGGGCCTCGACGCCTCCGCGGGGACGGTGGTGGCCCCAGCGGGCGGCCGGAGTCAGCGCTGCCGATTAGCGCGCCGCACACACAGGCCTTTTTAAGGTCACAAAAATGGGCGTGAAGATAAGACCGAAACTAGACTTGTGCTTTCTAATTCCAGACCTCAGGCAGACCTGCTGGGAGGGAGGCAGTGATACGAGATGAGGGAGGAGGGATCAGGCTGAAAGCTCGGCCCCGGTGACACTGAACGCATGCCTCGCACGACACTCGCTGCAGGAACACACAGAGTAATCTCCTAAGCTACTTGAAACCCTGCAAACACGTCTCCTTTTTCCCCCCATCCCTCTCACTGAGAGGCTCAGGGAAGAGAACCAAGGGACACCCAAAACTGTTCCACGGGTGAAAGCAAGTTCAAACACCTTGTGAAGATCATTTTGGTCCAGGCTCCCCAGTAGACAGGACAGGGCAGCTACCCAATGGAAAAAAAAAACCTGCTGTCTTCACTTGGATCGAGCCCCCACTACAGCCAGAGCATGAGAAATCCAGAATTTGACCTTGGGAATTCAGCTGGGACTCACATCCTGAGATAGCCTTGACCTCTCAGCTGGGGACCTGAGACCTTCAGATAGTGCTTAATGGACAGCAGCAGTAAACAGGAAGAGAAAAAAGAAGGGGATAACTCAAACAACAGCAGGTAAAAGTTGAAATTTCTCCCAACTCAGGGAACTTCATAGCAGCTCAGGAATAAAGGCTCAACTGTAACTTGTTTTCTAAAGCCTGTGCTTGCTCAGGGTTCACCGGGGACACGTCAGGCACTGAGGTGATAAAGCAGAGCTGACGTTTAATCTCAGACCCTCTTAGCAAGAGTTGTGTCAAAGCAGGAAAACAGATCCCTGCATCCCTCTGCCTCCCCAGAGCCCCAGCAGAGAAGGGAAGAAGGGGGTAAAAATAACCTACCTGTTGCGGGTCCCAAGTCCAAGCTGGAGTCATTGAGCTCTCCCCCGTCCTCCCAGAAGTACTGAGGAGGCTGCAAGATCTTGGACTCCTCGTTCTCCTCGCTGGCAAAGCCGGATCCCGGGGCGGCGTGCAGGGAGCCGGGACTGAGCTCGGCCTCCGGGGCCTCGGGGCTGGGCTGCTCCTGGGAATTCAGGGCCTCCAGGTGGGACATCATGGCAAACTCCAGCAGGGAGGTCGAGGTGAGGCCATCGGCGGTCGGCTCCTCCGAGGAGGCCAGGCAGAGGCACAAGGTCCCTGTGCAACAACAGCAAACCCGCATCAGAGACAGGATCAGACCCGCACCGGCCCCGGGCACCTCTGCTAACGGGGCAGGGCTGGTTTGTCCTTTCTGAGGCTTTTTGCTCTCTGAAAGAAGGGGGTGCCTTGATAAATCACCCATCCTGGGGGGGAGGCGGCATGTTCGCACTTAAGGTGTGAAATTCTGGCTCTGTGAAGTCAATGAAACTTTTAACTTCACTGTCACACAGCCAAGAGTTCCTGATCTGCACCTATATCATATGCAGGGAGATCGATTTAAACCAAATTTGATTAAATCACCAAATTTAATCACATTTCAAATCAGCAAGCTAAAAATCTATTTCGGAGTCATTCATTTGAACTTCATTTTGCACTCACATTTTTTGTTTTCATGGGCAAGGGCTGACTGTCTCTGGTAAGAATTAAAATACAGTAATAGCAAATGTATCTCCCTAAGACTAAGCAGAAAGATGGGTAATTCTTAGCAGACTTAAATAACTATAAACCTGGCATTTCCATTTCTTTATATTAGAAAGCTTGGCTGACATTCCTTGTTTCCTCAATGAGATTTTGTGATTTGTGTCAAGGTACCTTCACGTGCATATTGAAATTCAATTAAAATGCAAGAAAACGGCACCTGAAACTTGGCTTCATTCATCTCATAAAAACCATCATAAACATGGAGAGATAAGGGAAAAAAAATACCAAAACATGTTTAAAATTGTTTTGGTGAGTGAGTGAAACAACCAACTGCAGTCAGTGAAAAAGTAATTGCTTGTTGGGCGTCTGCGCTTCAGTACATAAGAGCTAGATCTCGTCCTCTCATAGGTGATTTTTATTCACAGATCAGAAAGGAAAAAAGAGAAAGAAACAAAGAAAAGGGAGAAGCTTTCCTGCTCTCCCAGGTCATAGCAAGTTTCTTGGTTTTTAATGAACTAGTCACTGAACGGAACTAATTGAATAAACTTAAAATGAAGACCAATTTCCTAACTTTCCTCAATATCTGATTTTCTAACAAGAAAATGCAGTGGAACTAGCTGGACTTCAGTAAAATATTTGATATTGTGTCATGTGGAGATTTACAAAAGAAGACAGCAATGAATAGAAAAACTGCAAGGCAGCAGCTATAGGAAAAATGACAGGGGCTTGTGCTGGAGGGAGGCTATTAGTGCTATTCCTCAAGGTCGGTCCTTGGAACTCATCATCTCTAATATTTTCCTAAGTGACCTTGGCATGAAAATTAGGAACATGATAATGAAATTAGCCAGAGACACAAAGTGAGGAGATATCTTTGCTGCACGGAAAGACTGTAGATAGAGCTAGGTGATCTTGAGGATGGAAAAAACAGAGATATTACGAAAAGAAATAATACAAAGTCATCATCTTGGGAATTAACAACAGACATTCCTCCTATAAGATAAGAAACTATCCATTAGAGATATCTGAAGAGGAGAAATTCCTGTATTGGGAATGGCTCTGCGCTATCACTGGAATGCTGCTGTGAAAATGCATGCACAATCCTGAAGTATTAGAAAAATTATATATTAATGCCTTTTGCAAGCACTGCTGAGTCCTCACCTGGATCCTGCATACAGATTTGGAAACACGTGGTCTGAAATGGATAAGGCAGAGCTGAAGCTGCCTTCAGGCAAGGGCACGGACTGGAAGACCTTCCGCTGCCACGTACAGCTCCTCGTCCCAGGAGGACAAGTTCGGAGCAGGGCAGGTGCAGGGACGAGCTGTGGGGAAGCAGCAACCGGACCGGACCTTGCACGTGCGCTGGAAACACGGGATCGCCAGCACAAAACACCCGGGAACTGCAGCTCGCTCACAGGGTTGGTTGCCAAACCTGTCCTGGGAATGCTGGTGGCCCAGAAATGCCTTTCTCCAGCCTTATTCCTACTCCAGGCCAGGAAGAGAGACCCGACCAGAGAGACCCAGCCAGGGCAGCCCCGCTCTCCGGAACACTGAGGCAGCAGAAGGGGAAGCAGGAGGACGGAGAAAGACCACGATGGGCTCAAGCCCACATGGAAGATTTTGGATTACAACTGACTGCCTGGATCCTGCGTTAGCTCTTCATCACCCAGATAGCTCAGCTTCCTCCCACCTCTGCCAGCAGAAACTTGGCCGATGAGATTGTCCATCTTTGCAACCACGTCACAACGCGCACCCAAGGCTCCCACCCACCTGGGCAAAGGGAAAAGCTGTGGAATACAATCCTGCCCCGGCTCCGAAGCCTGGGTCAAGCCTCTTGGTTTCCATCTGCTCCGCACCATTGGGGCTGTCCCCAGACCTCAGCCACAACCCGTCCTGCACCTCTACAGGTGACACATCACAACAGATGAACCTGGGCACCCGGAGAGCTAATCCCACCCGTGCGAGACGCTCGTCTCCTCGGAGTTCGCTTACCCTCATTTAACTCTGAGGTGTTTACCCGCTTTAAAACCCCTAAGCTGCATTATCTTGTTTACTGGGATGCTCTGCTCTCCTCAGCCCCAGATAAAGCGACACCATCGCAGTGCAGTCATCAACAGACACAGCCTGAGCGAGCCGGGTGTCTCCATGGTGGGGAAGGGTAGGATGACACCTCTGGATCTGATCCACGGGGATGCCAAGGTTGGCCTGGAGGAGCTGAAAGCCGCGGGGTTAGCTGAGCCATCACACAACGCAGCAGCTCTCCTGGGAGCACCGCTGTCGCCTGTCACACCTTTGCAGCAGCAGCGGTGACAGCCCTGGACCGAAGCTCCGCCACCCTCCCCGAGCATCTCATAACGGAGCTCAGCGCAGCCGCCAGCGCCGAGGCAAAGAAAGAACCAAAGCAGAAGCTCAGCTGGGAGCAGGGGAGCACAGACGAGGCCCAAAAAATCTGCGGCTAGCGATTCCTCCTAGAACAGCAACAGGGATGAGGCAACTTCCATTTGCCATCAGCCCCCTGGTCTGGTGTTCTAGAAGTCAGATCCAGCAATAGGGGGAAAAAAAAAAGCAAACACAAGCGAATAAAACCTTGCAAATGTAAATGGGAGGGAGCAGGGAAGGGAGCCAGGGCTCGCCAGCTGCTTCAATGGGGCGTTTGTGTCTCGTTTCTATTTTTGCGGCACCTCTGCGTAACCTGGAGCGGTTGAGGCTGTGCATGCTAAAGAGGGCAGGAAGCCTTTGGGGAAAGAGCCGGGCAAGGGCGGCCAAACCAGCCCCAGCGCAGAGAGCAGGGCGAGAAACGGAGGGGGGAGAGGGAAACGGAGGGGAAAGAGGGAACAAAGGCAGGGAGCGAGCAGCAAACCCAGCGCCGGGAGCGCCTTGGCGGCTGCGAGCTCCTCAGCCATCCGGGCACCGGCACCCCGGAGGTGACACCTTGAGGAAGGCGGTCACCTCCGCGAGGAGCGAAATGGGCTGCTCTTAACGCCAGGGAATAGCGCTGCATTGGTTCCCTTCTAAGACCACTGGAAAAAGAGCCAGGCTGGGGTCTGGCAGATGCATGAAATGAGTCTGTTAGTCGCAGAGGCCCCTCAGAAAACACCTCCAGCTCCAAGGCGCTCAGCTCAGCAGCGGGGTCGATGTCCAACCAAGGCAGACGCGGGAGCTTTGCTCAGCAGCAGGAGACGTCAAGCCCTTAGACCCAAGAATCTAAGGAGAAAATATCTGCCACCTCCTAGATTGCAGTGAATAAGAACTATTCTGCATTTCGAAGAGATTCTGAAAGAATCCAAGAGCATTTTCTACATTAAACAACCAAGAACCGCTTCATCCTTTGGCAGAAGGCAAGCCACCTCTCCACGGGTCAGCACAGCTGTTTAACAGCTCCCAGTTGGCCTATGGACCAGAAGCGAAAGAGGAAATAAGTTATTTCTGCATCCACATGAACTGAGAGTAGGGATTTGGGGAGCTGAAATGGAATCTGGCTGTGGAAGTGTCACACAGCTTTTAAAGATGCCTTGCTCCTTAATTAACAAGTAAACCTCGGTTTTCTCCCCACGGAAGCACATCCGCATCCCTCAAGACCTCGGCGCTGTGCCCGGGCGCAGAGCGGGGCCGCGCGTGTCATCTGCCTCCCCAGCCGCGCTCGCCCTGCAAACCCGTCCCCGTCCCCGGTGTCCTGGGCACCGCCCCCTGCAGCGAGCAGGGCCGAATGACGCTGCCCGAGCGGGTGCGCGGCGGGCACGGGCAACACCGCTGCCGGGCACTGCCAACGCGGCCGCTGCACTAATGTCCATCTGGCCCCGCTGCTGCTGACCTTCCTCCCAAGCCCGCCCTAAACACAGGAGTTGTCCAACACTTATTTCCTAGGAGAGCTGGGTCAGGAATGGGTCATTTACTGATAATCACTTAGGACAGAAACACAATGACCAGATGAGGGAAGCATCTGCCAGGGATATTCCCCGCGCCTGGAGAGGCTGGGGTGCAAGGCCCAAGGGCAGCGAGGAGAGGGGCCCGGGGGCAGCACAGCCAACGGCACTAACCGCTTGCAGAACATAACAAAACACAGGGCTAATTTAAATAATAAAACGGATCCTGGGCACAGATGCTGGAGGAAGAGAAGAAACTTCCCATGGCTCAGCTGAGGGATGTCCCAGCTCCCTTCCCACCTCTCACCTGGAGCTCGGCCTCGCAGACACTCAGCTGCTTGCACGGGGAAGTGCCCAGGACAGCCAGGTATCACCACATCATTTTGGTGTCAATCCAAAGTTACAGACCACCCTCGAGCTGGAACGCTCCAGCCAGGACGCACCTCCCCTCCAGCACAGCTCCCAACGCAGCCTCGCTGCTCTCGTGCCCACTGCCACCTCTGAATTCAGCCAGGGCCCGAATCTCGGGGCTCATTTCTACTTGGGGCTTTGGAGAGCACAGCCAGACTGCCCTTCGTTGGCACCTCTAGCAGTGCAAACACCCAGCCCTGAGACCCCAGGACGAGCCAGGGCTCCTGTCCTCGCGAACCGCAGCGCTAGCTCCACGCTTAGCGCACTCCACGTCACCGCAGAAAGGGCCCCGCGTGCACCGGTCATGGCAGCTCAGCCACCCGCATCGTCCCTTGCCCGACCACCCGCGCCAGGAGTCGCGGCTCCGCCTGGATCCCGGCTCCCAGCCCCCCACCCCCCGCTGCCTCCCCCCCGCGCTCT